TGGAAATCCCACGTCTAATCTCGCAAAACAGGTTATCCACCGGATCTTACTATCAACATCTGAAATGCCATTACTGTTTTTAGCCATGTTACAACAGGTTTGTACGCATAAGACACTCTTACATGAAAACTGTTTATTGTCTAAAAACGAAAATACCCCATTTGAAGATGAGTAATGCAATAAATATAATTCGAAACTTGAACTGTAATATGAACATAAAAAAACTAACAAAATGGGCCATTTAACAACATATTTGGTGTTGATATTCTACAACAAAAACAAATACTTTCTCGTATAAGGAAACATACAATAATTAACATTTATCACTTTTCACGAAACAATGTAAGTGCGCTGTGACTTTACATACTTATTACAGATTGTAGAACATTTTTTTCATTGTGTATTGTCATGTAACACCTACGTCGTTTTTTTCTTTAACAACTGCATCAGGATCGAGAACTCTGGGCTGAGAAGTAGACGGCTTACTTTATTCGTCGTTGGTAATTTAGGATTCTTTGCATGGCTGAACGAAGCTCCCTAGGAAGTCTTGGATCTGATAAACGTCCTCTCATACGAAGTTAAATTAGAGTTTGCCTCAGGGGAACAATAAAATTTCGTCGCCTAATGGAACTTTCAGTCCCAGACTGAAAAAAAAGGAATTTACAGAAGCTGGTTGGATACCAAATAGCACAAGGCCATCTTCTCGTTCTCTAACCAGTATTGTAATTTACACACTTCCGATCTAATGCATTACCCCCCGCCTTCATAGTGTTATAAAAATAATATAGAATCTTATCAGGTTTCTTTGATTCCTCTACTATTTTGTTATCATGCTGCATAGATTGCTATACGAGAACATGTGTATTTGGTTTTGGAAGATACTACACTAAGGCTGTAGTGCTAGTGAACATAAACTTAGAAGTACCTGGCTGTGTTTCCTTCTTATTTGGAACTACATGTTGGGGTACTTGTTACTTATTTTTACGCTTCCTGCCGACATGGTCAGTTGGTTGATGCGCAATTCTACATGTAATTCTGACTGGTGTGATATTTCTGTTCGTATAGACGAAAGCATTGAGCAGGTAGTGGTGAGTCTTTGCATCATCAGTCCATACTTATTCGGTTTAGTTTTCTTGTAGGCACAGGAAGGACATCGGCCCACGAGCATCTCGTATTTTGTAGGGGACTCACCCGAAATATAAAAATTTCGACAGTTCTCTATGAGTGTCTCGAAAATTTCACGTATTTGGAGAAATTTATCTGCATTTCTCGAGTCACAGGGTTATTATTTTCCAAATTGGTTGCCACGGACTTTAGTTCAGGTAAATGCGTAATAATCGACCAGTTGCAGGCGCTCGTTTTGACCCAATTGTACATGTTTTTTCCATGAGCATAGCGAGGTCGCCCATAGGAAGTTGTTCAGGTTGATCGATAACAGCGTCGTCCTCGGCGTAGTCTATAGTGTATTGTTCATCCGTCAACAACGAAAAAATCCATTTTGAAGGAAGTTCAAATCGTACACGCAACTGATATCCTCGGATCAAATTTGACCGCAAAGTCAACAACCAACAATTGTGATGTTTAAATTGAAACTGTGGTTTGAGGTATACGTGCTTATACGTATGAGAAGTCACGGGACCCCCACCACATAACTGAGAAAGCTCGAATCATCCGACGATACCATTAAAGGATTTAATTTCTATATTCTTGAACGAATCTATAAAATCAAAGTGGCTGGGTTTCAATTTACATAGCTCTTTGTATGGTCTTGTTTGCTGATCAACATTATATGATTTCTAGACATGTTCAATCTGTGCAGCTTCTTCACTTCATATTAATATCAATAAGAGCATTTCATCCATTTTTGAATAAATGTGGTTCATCACAAATTGTAGAAATACTCTGAGCATTGACTATAAAATGGAATGGACTTGATCCGTGAGTATTCTCCGAGCAAATCGTCTCAGTGCGTTTTTGATCGTTGCGCCCTGATTAGAAATAGTGCCAACGACGCACAAACCAAGTCGCTGCAAGTTTTGTGATCACATGAACAATAATCGTTTTCAGATCTGGGATTCTTGTATCTTTTACTAGATAATAAGCCACAACCTGCTTATAATTTTACGAATCGCTCTTATCATGGAAGTAGGGCATGATTTCTGATAAATCACTTTACGGAGTTTTAGTTGATTTTGTTGCCTCAGAATTCAAGATTTATTAGCTGACAATTGTACACTGTGAGCGGTTACCAAAACTAGATTCACAATCTTAAGTCCTAGGTGCTATCGTGGTCCGTGGGATCAGCCCTAAACTTTGTCCAAACCCTGCAATAATCGTAAACACTAAACAAGGGTAGACATATTACTAGTTTAACTGCCTGAAGATTTTCTCTATGGTTTATACGTAACTCTCCACCTATTATCTCATTTTTGTACATGTTCTGGGAGAACTCAACTTGCTCCCTATAAAATGCAACGTCTTCCTGCACAGGTGGTTCTGGTTAAGTGCCAGCCTGCTTCGGGTTTGTAATTAGTTGTTGCAATTTACTGATTTCGTCGTCATTTTTCATAATCCAGATTTCGTTTTGGCATTCCAGTTCAGCCATTTAATCCTGAAGCTCTTTTATAGCAGAATCATTATGGCATCGTATATCTGAGGTTTTAAATGAGTGGTTGACCTCACGTTGGTTACTCTCGTCCATCAGACTCTTTACGTCATTCTCAGTTTAGATTCAAGTTCTTTTAGGAAGCCAATTTCATCTTGCAGTTCAGCAATGTGTGACATCGTTACATCAGTTTGTGTAGCAGCACTTAAAGAATCTTGCATATCTTCGTACTCAGCATCAAGCATAGCTTCTAAGTCTGCAACCTTCATTTTGACTCAATATTTTGAGCTTCAAGAGATAGTTAAGGGCTCTCTGATCTTCCTAGGTTCTTCAGTTGAGTACGCAGCATCTCTATTTCTGACTCGTATGTTTTTAGTCTTTTTATAATGTTTTTCCAGAAAATCGAGTCTGTATTGCAAGTCGATGAATTTCTTGCGCTTTTTGAGAATTTTTTTGAACCCTTTCTATTTCTTTATTGTACGCATCCGTTACTTGGCGGAGTTCCTGACTGTAACGATCGATTTTAGAATTGGCTTCTGTGAGCTGTTTCTTCAGGTCCAAAATCTCCAGCTGATTATCTAGTTTAGTGAATTCTCTAAGCTCATTGAAAGATTCTTCCAGTTCTTTGAGTTGTCTTTTAAGTACACTTGCAGGCACGTCTTCAGCTATCACAGATTCTGCTTCGGCTAGTGCCTCCTCATATGTCTCTTCTTGAATAGGCCTCATTTCACGTCCGGATGATTCTTCTTCGGGTGGATAATTTTTCAATGGCATATACCGTAGGGATGCTTTTTTAGGTGATACGTTGCCATAGTCTCCAAAAGTATGACGTCTTAATGTTTTTTTCGGTGTTGATGCCGAGGCTCCCATTTGGAAGCGCCCGACAATAGATACTTCCGTTTTTAGTCTTTCTATCTCGAGCAGATACTCTTGTTTGCTTTTCTCCATCTCTTCTAGCTTAATTGCCTGCTTTTTGAGCCGAGTTTCGAGATCGCGAGTCAAGTTCTGATATCCTTGAAGTGCCTCTTCTGTAGCTGACAAGATGTTTACTTTCGGTTTATTTTTGACAGTTTTAGTGCTTTGGGCGAATTCTAGTGTAGATCTAGTCTCCTCCTCTGCAGCTGAAGTAACATTCCCGATAATCAATGATTTGGCATTACCGCCAAGAGCCTGTGAGAGCAGTCTAGTCAATTTCGAATCGCGATAACTGATAAACTCCTTCCCCTCGCTTAGTTGCCTTATCACATTTCCTAATACTGACAAAGATTTGTTTATGTTAGCCCCCTCTTTAAGATGCTCACCAGCAGCTTTCGTCAGAGAAACTCTCTCAGAACCAGCTAAGTCCATTGAGTTAAGGTAGCTTATATGTACAGGTCCATCTTTCTGATTGGCATCTTTCGACTCCAGAATAATCCGGAAAATCGTGTGTGATCGAGATGACCTCTCATTCATGCGAGTAGCTGCAACTAGTCTGATCTTATTGCCCTGCATCATGTTCTCCATAACTTGATCAACATTGTCTACGACAGCTTCCCTTGCATCAAGCAGCACATTTCCTTTGATATCTTCTCTTATAGTTAAACCCTGATTGCTCTTATCCAGGAGGTCATTGATCTTTTCATTGTAGATTTCAATATAACTGAATCTAATCAAGTACCTCTTATCAACCTGGTCTGCCACATGCTGGAATAACTGATTGGATACTAATTGGAAAAGCCCAGGATCTGTTTTATTGCCCAAAATGGTGTGTGTTTTGCCAGAAGATGTTTGGCCATATGCAAATATTGTTGCATTGAAACCTTCCATGAAGGAATCGACTAAAGGTTTTACTACAGATCCATATACATCTGAATTTGTACATTCCTGGTTAAATACATGGTCGAATATATAAACCTCTCCATGGCGACTACTTTCATCGGCTTCCCATATGCAGTTTTCTCTTACGTTCCAAAGACGCTCTAGACCATCGGCTACTCCGCGGTGGATCATTGGTCTGATCTTTATGGCTACTTTAATATTGTCGGAAGTCATTTTGGAAGCTTGAACTGAAATTTAATTAGAACTAGGGCTATTTCACGGGTTATAAAGAGGGGCAGATGTATCAGGTTGATACATTCTTTTTTTCCTCCTCTCCAGTATAGAAGATTTTTGTCTCTTGTAGGCTATGAATGCGGTCCGATAGTTTAGTAGAGCTACATTTACAGGGTGACTCAAAATCAAAGAAGAAACAGAATTGTTAAATTTCATATAGACTGTTATTGTTATTACAAAAAGAAGTTGAAGCAGCAGCAAATTCTCACAAATCTATAGATCCATCACTTTCAGCAAAAGATTTTTCAACTTGAAAAATGCAGCTCGGTGAAGAATCACAAGGTAACTGTTGTCTATTCAGACAATACTCTTCTAAAAGCAACGCGAAGTTACCTAGTGCCTTACATGAATCGCCTTCATAATTCTTCATTATTGTCAATGGAAAACTGAAATTGTTGATTATTACAGTTTTTAATGCTGCAAATAAGCAGATGGGGTTCGTGCTGGAAATCCCACGTCTAATCTCGCAAAACAGGTTATCCACCGGATCTTACTATCAACTTCTGAAATGCCATTACTGTTTTTAGCCATGTGTACAACAGGTTTGTACGCATAAGACACTCTTACATGAAAACTGTTTATTGTCTAAAAACGAAAATACCCCATTTGAAGATGATTAATGCAATAAATATAATTTACGAAACTTGAACTGTAATATGAACATAAAAAAACTAACAAAATGGGCCATTTAACAACATACTTGGTGTTGATATTCTACAACAAAAACAAATACTTTCTCGTATAAGGAAACGTACAATAATTCACATTTATCACTTTTCACGAAACAATGAAGCTGCTCTGTGACTTTGCATACTTATTACAGATTGTAGAACATTTTTTTCATTGTGTATTGTCATGTAACACCTACGTCGTTTTTTCCCTTTAACAACTGCATCAGGATCGAGAACTCTGGGCTGAGAAGTAGACGGCTTACTTTATTCGTCGTTGGTAATTTTGGATTCTTTGCATGGCTGAACGAAGCTCCCTAGGAAGTCTTGGATCTGATAAACGTCCTCTCATACAAAGTTAAATTAGAGTTTGCCTCAGGGGAACAATAAAATTTCGTCGCCTAATAGAACTTCAGTCCCAGACTGAAAAAAAAAGGAATTTACAGAAGCTGGTTGGATACCAAATAGCACAAGGCAATCTTCTCGTTCTCTAACCAGTATTGTAATTTACACACTTGCTAATGCATTACCCCCCGCCTTCATAGCGTTATAAAAATAATATAGAATCTTATCAGGTTTCTTTATTCCTCTACTATTTTGTTATCATGCTGCATAGATTGCTATACGAGAACATGTGTATTTGGTTTTGGAAGATACTACTCTAAGGCTGTAGTGCTAGTGAACATAAACTTAGAAGTACCTGGCTGTGTTTCCTTCTTATTTGGAACTACATGTTGGGGGTACTTGTTACTTATTTTTACGCTTCCTGCCGACATAGGTCAGTTGGTTGATTCGCAATTCTACATGTAATTCTACTGACGTGAACCAGTCATCTGCTGTGATATTTCTGTTCGTATAGACGAAAGTATTGAGCAGATAGTGGTGAGTCTTTGCATCATCAGTCCATACTTATTCGGTTTAGTTTTCTTGTAGGCACAGGAAGGACATCGGCCCACGAGCATCTCGTATTTTGTAGGGGACTCACCCGAAATATAACAATTTCGACAGTTCTCTATGAGTGTCTAGAAAATTTCTCGTATTTGGAGAAATTTATCTGCATTTCTCGAGTCACAGGGTTATTATTTTCCAAATTGGTTGCCACGGACTTTAGTTCAGGTAAATAATATTGTCGTCTGGATCGACCAGTTGCAGGCGCTCGTTTTGACCAATTGTACATGTTTTTTCCATAAGCATAGCGAGGTCGCCCATAGAAAGTTGTTCAGGTTGATCGATAACAGCATCGTCCTCGGCGTAGTCTATGGTGTATTATTCATCCGTCAACAACGAAAAAATCCATTGTGAAGGAAGTTCAAATCGTACACGCAACTGACATCCTCGGATCAAATTTGACCGCCAAGTCAACAAACCAACACTTGTGATGTTTAAATTAAACTGTGGTTTGAGGTATACGTGCTTATACCGTATGAGAAGTCATGGGACCCCCACCACATAACTGAGAAAGCTCGTATCATCCGACGATACCATTAAAGGATTAATTTCTATATTCTTAAACGAATCTATAAAATCAAAGTGGCTGGGTTTCAATTTACATAGCTCTTGTATGGTCTTGTTTGCTGATCAACATTATATGATTTCTAGACATGTTCAATCTGTGCAGCTTCTTCACTTTCATATTAATGTCAATAAGAGCATTTCATCCATTTTTGAATAAATGTGGTTCATCACAAATTGTAGAAATACTCTGAGCATTGACTATAAAATGGAATGGACTTGATCCGTGAGTATTCTCCGAGCAAATCGTCTCAAGTGCGTTTTTGATCGTTGCGCCCGGATTAGAAATAGTGCCAACAACGCACAAACCAAGTCGCTGCTAGTTTGTGATCACATGAACAATAATCGTTTTCAGATCTGGGATTCTTGTATCTTTTACTAGATAATAAGCCACAACCTGCTTATAATTTTTACGAATCCCCCTTATCATGGAAGTAAGGGCATGATTTCTGATAAATGACTTTTACAGAGTTTTAGTTGATTTTGTTACCTCAGAATTCAAGATTTATTAGCTGAAAATTGTACACTGTGAGCACTGGGATCAGCCCTAAACTTTGTCCAAACCCTGCAATAATCGTAAACACTAAACAAGGGTAGACATATTTCTAGTTTAACTGCCTGAAGATTTTCTCTATGGTTTATACGTAACTCTCCACCTATTATCTCCTTTTTGTACATGTTCTGGGAGAACTCAACTTGCTCCCTATAAAATGCAACGTCTTCCTGCACAGGTGGTTCTGGTTAAGTGCCAGCCTGCTTCGGGTTTGTAATTAGTTGTTGCAATTTTCTGATTTCGTCGTCACTTTTCATAATCCAGATTTCGTTTTGGCATTCCAGTTCAGCCATTTGATCCTGAAGCTCTTTTATAGTAGAATCATTATGGCATCGTATATCTGAGATTTTAAATGAGTGGTTGACCTCACGTTGGTTACTCTCGTCCATCAGACTCTTTGCGTCATTTCTCAGTTTAGATTCAAGTTCTTTTAGGAAGCCAATTTCATTTTGCAGTTCAGCAATGTGTGACATCGTTACATCAGTTTGTGTAGCAGCACTTAAAGAATCTTGCATATCTTCGTACTCAGCGTCAAGCATAGCTTCTAAGTCTTCAACCTTCTTTTTTGAGTCAATATTTTGAGCTTCAAGAGATAGTTTAGGGCTCTCTGATCTTCCTAGGTTCTTCAGTTGAGTACGCAGCATCTCTATTTCTGACTCGTATGTTTTTAGTCTTTTTATAATTTTTTTCCAGAAAATCGAGTCTGTATTGCAAGTCGATGAAATTCTTGCGCTTTTTGAGAATTTTTTTGAACCCTTTCTATTTCTTCATTGTACGCATCCGTTACTTGGCGGAGTTCCTGACTGTAACGATCGATTTTAGAATTGGCTTCTGTGAGCTGTTTCTTCAGGTCCAAAATCTCCAGCTGATTATCTAGTTTAGTGAATTCTCTAAGCACATTGAAAGATTCTTCCAGTTCTTTGAGTTGTCTTTTAAGCACACTTGCAGGCACGTCTTCAGCTATCACAGATTCTGCTTCGGCTAGTGCCTCCTCATATGTCTCTTCTTGAATAGGCCTCATTTCACGTCCGGATGATTCTTCTTCGGGTGGATAATTTTTCAATGGCATATACCGTAGGGATGCTTTTTTAGGTGATACGTTGCCATAGTCTCCAAAAGTATGACGTCTTAATGTTTTTTTCGGTGTTGATGCCGAGGCTCCCATTTGAAAGCGCCCGACAATAGATACTTCCGTTTTTAGTCTTTCTATCTCGAGCAGATACTCTTGTTTGCTTTTCTCCATCTCTTCTAGCTTAATTGCCTGCTTTTTGAGCCGAGTTTCGAGATCGCGAGTCAAGTTCTGATATCCTTGAAGTGCCTCTTCTGTAGCTGACAAGATGTTTACTTTCGGTTTATTTTTGACAGATTTAGTGCTTTGGGCGAATTCTAGTGTAGATCTAGTCTCCTCCTCTGCAGCTAAAGTAACATTCCCGATAATCAATGATTTGGCATTACCGCCAAGAGCCTGTGAGAGCAGTCTAGTCAATTTCGAATCGCGATAACTGATAAACTCCTTCCCCTCGCTTAGTTGCCTTATCACATTTCCTAATACTGACAAAGATTTGTTTATGTTAGCCCCCTCTTTAAGACGCTCACCAGCAGCTTTCGTCAGAGAAACTCTCTTAGAACCAGCTAAGTCCATTAAGTTAAGGTAGCTTATATGTACAGGTCCATCTTTCTGATTGGCATCTTTCGACTCCAGAATAATCCGGAAAATCGTGTGTGATCGAGATGACCTCTCATTCATGCGAGTAGCTGCAACTCGTCTGATCTTATTGCCCTGCATCATGTTCTCCATAACTTTATCAACATTGTCTACGACAGCTTCCCTTGCATCAAGCAGCACATTTCCTTTGATATGTTCTCTTATAGTTAAACCCTGATTGCTCTTATCCAGGAGGTCATTGATCTTTCATTGTAGATTTCAATATAACTGCATCTAATCAAGTACCTCTTATCAACCTGGTCTGCCACATGCTGGAATAACTGATTGGATACTAATTGGAAAAGCCCAGGATCTGTTTTATTGCCCAAAATGGTGTGTGTTTTGCCAGAAGATGTTTGGCCATATGCAAATATTGTTGCATTGAAACCTTCCATGAAGGAATCGACTAAAGGTTTTACTACAGATCCATATACATCTGAATTTGTACATTCCTGGTTAAATACATGGTCGAATATATAAACCTCTCCATGGCGACTACTTTCATCGGCTTCCCATATGCAGTTTTCTCTTACGTTCCAAAGACGCTCTAGACCATCGGCTACTTCGCGGTGGATCATTGGTCTGATCTTTATGGCTACTTTAATATTGTCGGAAGTCATTTTGGAAGCTTGAACTGAAATTTAATTAGAACTAGGGCTATTTCACGGGTTATAAAAAGGGGCAGATGTATCAGGTTGATACATTCTTTTTTTCCTCCTTTCCAGTATAGAAGATTTTTTTCTCTTGTAGGCTATGAATGCGGTCCGATAGTTTAGTCTTAATTGGTTGCCACGGACTTTAGTTCAGGTAAATGCGTAATAATATTGTCGTCTGGATCGACCAGTTGCAGGCGCTCGTTTTGACCAATTGTACATGTTTTTTCCATAACCATAGCGAGGTCGCCCATAGGAAGTTGTTCAGGTTGATCGATAACAGCGTCGTCCTCGGCGTAATCTATGGTGTATTGTTCATCCGTCAACAACGAAAAAATCCATTGTGAAGGAAGTTCAAATCGTACACGCAACTGACATCCTCGGATCAAATTTGACCGCAAAGTCAACAAACCAACACTTGTGATGTTTAAATTAAACTGTGGTTTGAGGTATACGTGCTTATACCGTATGAGAAGTCACGGGACCCCCACCACATAACTGAGAAAGCTCGAATCATCCGACGATACCATTAAAGGATTAATTTCTATATTCTTAAACGAATCTATAAAATCAAAGTGGCTGGGTTTCAATTTACATAGCTCTTTGTATGGTCTTGTTTGCTGATCAACATTATATGCTTTCTGGACATGTTCAAGCTGTGCAGCTTCTTCACTTTCATATTAATATCAATAAGAGCATTTCATCCATTTTTGAATAAATGTGGTTCATCACAAATTGTAGAAATACTCTGAGCATTGACTATAAAATGGAATGGACTTGATCCGTGAGTATTCTCCGAGCAAATCGTCTCAAGTGCGTTTTTGATCGTTGCGCCCTGATTACAAATAGTGCCAACGACGCACAAACCAAGTCGCTGCAAGTTTGTGATCACATGAACAATAATCATTTTTAGATCTGGGATTCTTGTATCTTTTACTAGATAATAAGCCACAACCTGCTTATAATTTTTACGAATCCCTCTTATCATGGAAGTAAGGGCATGATTTCTGATAAATCACTTTTACAGAGTTCTAGTTGATTTTGTTACCTCAGAATTCAAGATTTATTAGCTGAAAATTGTACACTGTAGGAACTGCCGTGACCCTGCAATAATCGTAAACACTAAACAAGGGTAGACATATTTCTAGTTTAACTACCTGAAGATTTTCTGTATGACTTATGCGTAACTCTCCACCTATTATCTCATTTTGTAGTTGAGGCCCCTTCATCTGATAATTGTTTACGTCTTCGTTTCTTTCGTAACCACAATGTTACATTTTGACAGTTGTTCGGTCCTTTCAGTCCGGGAACAGTCCGCTGTTGTTCCATTGCTCCATTGCTCCTCTCGAACTTTGTGTTCCGCGTCCAAGTTGAAGAAACTTCACTTTTTGGTCGTAGCTCTGTTGAGAAGCACGCATTTTGCGGATCTTTACGCCAAATGAAGTCTAAGCGTTCTTCCTTTTTATGTGGATGTGGGAGACGGGAGTCTTCGACGCTTTTACGGCGTTCTAGCCGACACTTTTAGGCCACACTCCAACAGAGGTAAGCAATTCGGCTTGCGTTAAAATGGAACCCGGCGCCATATTGGATTTTTATTTCAGGCCTTTTTCATCTTCTTCCAACTTTTTCATCTTCTTCACCTTACGTTTTCTCCACCAAACGAGTGCTGATACCTTCAGATGAAGCCCTGACGACTTTTCCACGTCCTGCCCCGTAATGAGAGTTCCAAGCAGCCCCTGAGGAAGGGAGCTGATTCAGCTGTTGCCAATGTCCACAGACGCCATGTGCTGAAACCCCGTGGAACTGCATCTATATACTTAAGCAGCTAATTTCACTTAATATGAATTATTTATCCTAACTTCACAGCTGGTGTGATCCCGAGGGTATGCATACCTCATTTGTTACTTTTTCGAATTTTAATGTTTGCTCTTACAGAATGGTCAAAAACGCAAATTTTAGTTTTTCTCAAAAATTTCAAATGCATCAACCTGTATATTTGTGCAAGTTTTTATTCAATCAATTTTTTTTTATACTAGAGACATAACGGTTTTTACGGCAATTTTTTCGGTTATTTGCACGTCTTTTATGGAACGGCTTAATTCGCAAAAATATCGCTTCGCCTTTGGAAACAAATAAATTGTTGATTAGCTACAAACTATCAAAATTAGCTTTGTGAGCATTATAATGAAAACGTGTTTGAAAATGAATTTTTCTAAAGAATAAATGGTGAACACGTTCGTTTTATAAGCAACGGTACCCTAATATGCGACATCCAAGGCCGGAAATATTTTCCACACTACGAGAACGTTTTGAGTCAAGTGAAGCAGTGGAATATAGTAAAAAATGTATAAATAATAGAAGTGTCACCAAGCTGGCAAATCAGTTGGAGGTTCTATTAAAGTTGCAAGAAAATCCCCATTTAAGTGCACGGCAAATTGGAGCAGAAACTGACATATGCAGAACTTGTATCATAAGGATTATTCATAAGCATAGGTACCATCCATATCACATATGCTTGCATCAAGGCTTTCGTCCTCAGGATTTCGCAGCTCGAATGGGGTTTAGTAGAATAATGCTAAATAAGGTGAGTGAAGACACTACTTTCCGGGATAAGGTTCTTTTAAGCAATGCGGCAACTTTTAACAGCATATGTTCTGTCGACAGGCATAACACTACTATGCGTCGCAAAATCCTTACTGGGTTAGGCAAATAGATTTCCAAAATAAATGGAGCTTGAATGGTTGGGAGGAGTTATTGGCAGACAAATTATCGGGCCTTTCTTTTTCGACAACAGATTAACAGGTACATATTACTTGAATTTTTGATCGAGTATTTGCTTTACGATGATGTCAACCTGCAAACTTGGATGCATATGTACTTCCAACATGACGGCGCACCTGTGCATTACCACAATCGTGTGCGTAACTATTTGGACACCTGGAGTAACAATCGTTGGATCGGTCGTAATGGGCCTATATCTTGGCCTCCTAGATCACCAAATATGACATCGATGGACTTCTTTCTATGGGGCTACGTTAAGAGGTTTATAGACATCCACCATCTACCCCGAAAAATATGAAGGTAAGGATTAAGGATGCTTTTCTGAACATAAGGGAGCACGTGTTGAGAGATGTGCACCTGTTATTTATCCAAAAACTACGGCTGTGTGTTCATCATGGTGGAGATATTTTTCAGCAGCTTTTGTAGATTAAGTCTTGAGTAGTACTAGCTGTTCGTTTATGTTGTTGTTATAGTTGTTTTTCTCTATTACGCTTGAAGCTGATTTATAGTGTTATTAGTCTTTATGCCAAATTTTTGAGAACACGTACAATTCGCGTTTTTGACCACCCTGTATGAGCAAAAATGAAAATTGGAAGAAGTAACAAATAAGATAAAAGCTGAGGTTTTTAAGTATTTTGATACAAAATTCAGCACTCCAAATTTCAAAATGGCGGATTGAGGGGTTGCCGAAGCGGACGGTTTTTCTAGACAAAACACCTCACATCTCAGTAGCTAATTACCAAAACCCCATAGTATGCTATATCAATCTTCTTCTTTTGAATTATTTATCCAAAGATGCAATAAAATTTGAGGCAATCCATTTAAAAAATAACAACTTTGATATGTAGGTCATAATTCTGACAACCTGTATAATTGCCAATATTTTAGAAGTGCGCCCTCAAATGTCATGTATAACATGACAAAATGTATTTGTTTATCAGTAATATTCCGTCCACACATGGATGGGCCACCCAATTACAGCGTCATATTTACGTTATTTAGATGAACTCTCTTGTTGCTGTCCTACTGCACCCATATACATACAAGCAAATAATGACGCCAATTACTGTACTATACGTAGTAGGTGATTACGTTCTAGCAAAGTCTCAGCGAGAGATAATTCCTTTGGTCACGTTTGCAACTCCTTAATACAATACGTTATACTCATTTCGTAAACATGTATTATGATCTATTAACTCCCAATGGTTCTCTCCGCCAATGTAACCATTGCAATATTTTTTTTGAGTATTCGCTAGTTATTTGTCCTGGGAGATGCACTATAGTATATGTTGATACCTTATCTGTTAGTCTACTTACGTCACACGAGCCCACCCTTGAGCTGCAACTCCTGTCCAACACCCGAATGCATCAGGAAATGGGTGGCCCTCACATTTCCAGAGTCTATCTACATACCCAGTAAAAATGTTCGTTGCATGAATAGACTGACCTAATGTGGGACCTGCATACAAGTATTGCAATACAAATAGCCAAACAAAATGTAGTGCCACCGATTTCTTGTACTATAATTGAGTAGCAGACTTTCATAAACGGCTATGATATGTTTCAGATAAATTGAGAAATGTGGCAAAAACTGCCGAAAAGCAGCGGCAAACATACTACAAAAAGGATTAACCGAAGAATATCAAAATTTCGTTCTTTGACCAAAAATGTATTTTGTTTAATGCGCTTTGTTTGTCCAAATGAGAATCCTTTTGTTTGGGAAGCGGTAGCTTATCCCAAATTATTTTTCATTTACCGATACAATGTTGTCTTAGAAGTACATTAAAAGAAAAACGATCAAACTTTCCCGCCGTCATCTTCGATGCAGTTACATACTCCTTGGACATTTTCTTCATCACTAATCTCTTGCAGTTATTCAAGATGCTCTGAGAAACTTTGAAGAAGCCATTGCAATTCTTCATCAACACGCCATCTTTCTGTAGATAATTGCACTACAAGTTTATGCAGATTTTTCAACTTTTTCCCTTTTATTTCATGATTTAGATACTTGGCAGTGGCATCACCGTTTGTGTAAAAGATTTCTATTATTACAGCTTCTTGTTGTTTTGGGGTCCGTTTTATCAAGATTCGCTTAGCATGACTGATTCGATCGATTTTGTTGAAGGTAGACATAGCGGATATCA